CCTTAAATATTGGCGTAATTAAACCTATTTTTAAACATTGCGGAAACACACCAGTGTCAAATGAATTATTTATAGCATTTACCAAAACGTTTAATGCATTATCTGATAAATTCTCAAATATTTTAATTGATATATTATCTATTCCAGTGGAGGTTTTATTTTGTATATTTTTAATAACATGTTTAAGTTCTGTTAGATCAGTATGACGTAAGAAAAAACTCTCTATGATATTTATGTTTTGTAGGAAAGATAGAGGGTCAATTTGTGGTTTTAAATTAGACATTATTTCTCTAGCTACTTTACAATAATATTCATTGAGTATATTTGAATCTATGGTAATTTGATTACTGTTCAAATTATATTTTCCTGTTAATTCACTCACAATAGTCCACCCTTCTTTAGCCTTGTTTCCTGAGCGACTTAGCCTATTTTTATAGTAGTCCCTTTTTGCTAGTTTAATGACTTGCCTATACATTCTCTTGTACTTATTAAGATAGTTTGTTATAAATTCAGATGGAAAATATTTTTTAAGATTACAAAGACATCTTAAATTCTTTGATGATATTTTCAAACCTTTTGTTACCCAGGGTTTTTTGAACTTTTTCTTTTTAATTTTTTGCAAGGGGAAATTCTTATTAAAGGTTAAAATCAACAAATTATTGAAGTGTTCTAGTGGATTATTATGCTGGAAAACCACATTCCAGTTCAACAATTGAGTATCAGCTTGAAAATTTCTATAATTTTTCTTGCTATAGATTCTACCAATTGTTTTTGTTTTTTCTTTAGTATTATTTTTTAGAGAAAGCTTTGCTATTATTGCCTCATGGTCTGATAATCCAGAGGGTATTGCAGTTAAATTAAAATTGTTTGCTTCACCAAAGTTAACACAAAAATAATCAATAAGAGAGCTAGTAGTATTTGTGAAACGTGTAGGTTCAGATACTAACATCCTAATATTAAAAGAGTCCAGTAAATTAGATAAAGCTTGAACAGTCGTCAAGTTATAGTCCTGAAAATCAATGTTAAAATCACCAGCCAAGACGATCCTGGAATTCACTGGTAGTGAAGATAAAATATGCTCTAATCTTTCAACAAACTCTTTGAAAGATCCCTTTGGGGGGCGATATATACAGATAATATATAAATTGTTTTGTTTATTGTAAAGAAGAGAAAATTCAAACATTCCCTCCAGTGCAAGAAAATTGAATTTTGTGACATTTGTGACTTTAAAATTTTCTAAAAATGTTTCTTTAATTAATATCATTGTTCCTCCATAACCGGACTCTTGTCTTGTAAAAAGATCCAATACCTTATAACATGGCACATAAAACGGCTCATCCGCCCTCAACCAATGTTCTGTTATTAGCAATATATCAGGGTTGTTTACCGATTCCAGAAATATTGTCAACTCGTCATTTTTATTCCTTAAAGATTGAATATTTAAAACTAAAAAACAAACACTTTTACCTTTCATGCTGTTGTAATTGTTGGACTGGTTACATCTAAAAAAGAATCTTCTGACTCTGATGTGAAAACATCAGTATCATTACCAATATTTTTACTTTGTTCTATCAATTCTATATTCGGTTTATCTATGTATTTTTTTAAGTTTACGTTAACTAGATTTGTGATTTTAGGTTTTTTATTAAAGTTAGTTATAGAATTGACCATTTCTTTGGATAATTTATACAGGCCTCTTTTATTTAAATAGATACGATTTTTAACAAATTCATGACATTCAAAACAACTTTGTAGATTTAAAGAGTCAATGTTAGTTGAGTACCGTTTTAAATTATTTATTACTTGTAAGATTTTATCATTAACTGTATGAAAGTTTTTCTCTTTTAAGTTATAAATGTTGGCTGGAAGTGAACAAATTATTAGGTTTGTTTGAAATCATTTGTTAGCTAAGTGTCTAACTAACTCATGGATCTCTTATGAAATTATATTATACAGTTTTTATTATTGAAATAGTCCAAGTACCTCAATATTTAATTCGTATTAGTGAAACAAACTTGAATTCTTCATTGGAATCATTCCTAGAGAATTAAATGAATTATTCTACTAGCACATGAAACTTTTCTGTACCCTGAATCTTGAGTAATCTTGACAGTTTGTGAGATTTCCAATAATTTACTGTTGATACAACAATTGGAAAGAACCGTTAAAGTTTGTTTTACCAATACGAATTAGATATTGAGGTACCTACTTGGACTATTTCAATAATAAAAACTGTATAGTATTATTTGATAAGAGATCCATGATGAAAAACAAGATATTTCCTATTTTTTGTTGTTTTCGCAGACAGCCCTAAAACATCGTTCTAATCACTTGTTTCAAATAACTTTTTCCGATATTTTGCCATCTAACCCTCTAGTCGGGGAGCTGGCGTCGAAAATATGCAAGAGTTTTCGCAAGGCTCATATTTTCAGAATGAGTAGCATTTTAGTACTACAAAGCTAGGCTACAGTCAGCAGTTCCAGTTCCGGGACACCTGGCGCTGAGATGCGCGCAAAGGTGTATTTTTAATCAACACCTCGCAACAGTTTTCGCAAAGCTGAAAATTTGCAAAGAGCATGCGAATATAATGTAGAACCATAATTTAACAGTCAGACAAAGAAATACGGGGACACGTAGAGTCAGCGCGACTTTGAAGTGGTCAAAAAAATGACGTCACCGAAAGTGTTTTCGCATGGCTGAAATTTGGCAAGGTAATAGTAAAAACAATATATTTATTGAAAAAAACAGTCAGACACTTCTATGTCGGGACCCCGCCAGTCAGCAGTCGATTAGAGTGATATAGGTGAAAAGTGTTTTCGCATAGCTGAAATTTGGCAAGGTAATAGTAAAAACAATATATTTATTGAAAAAAACAGTCAGACACTTCTATGTCGGGACTCCCTCAGTCAGCAGTTGATTAAAATGAATAGAATAGAATAGAATTTTACTCTATATATATATATATCCATTTCGATGAATAATTTTATTTTTATAATTTAAATTATTTGGAATCGGAAACGGTAAAATAAAATTGTACATGCAGTTAAAAAGTTTGCGGTTAGAAAAAAGCCCGATTCGTATAAATATTACTTGACCATTTAATCAGCAATACTGTGATACCTATAGTAAGTTTCATTAAATACTTATAATCGTCGCCGATTTTATAAAATACAAAAAAAAAAAATTCTAATCACATCTGCCGCTTCCCATCCCCTAATCTCGACCTAACAGTACCATAATGAAGTTTCCGAATTCGAATGCATATACGCCTTATTCAAGTATACGCGCTTACGCTTGCAACTTACAGGTTTACACTTACTCATTAAGAGAAAAAAAAATGTATTTTACCGTTTCCGATTCCAAATAATTTAAATTATAGAAATAAAATTATTCATCGAAATGGATATATATAGAGTAAAATTCTATTGACGCGCGCTACCACCTATATCACTTTAATCGACTGCTGACTGAGGGAGTCCCAACATAGAAGTGTCTGACTGTTTTTTTCAATAAATATATTGTTTTTACTATTACCTTGCCAAATTTCAGCTATGCGAAGACACTTTTGGTGAAATTATTATTCGACATGGATATATGCCTATTGACGCGCGCTACCACCTATATCACTCTAATCGACTGCTGACGGGCGGGGTCCCGACATAGAAGTGTCTGACTGTTTTTTTCAATAAATATATTGTTTTTACTATTACCTTGCCAAATTTCAGCTATGCGAAAACACTTTTGGTGAAATTATTATTCGACATGGTTATATGCCTATTGACGCGCGCTACCACCTATATCACTTTAATCGACTGCTGACTGGCGGGGTCCCGACATAGAAGTGTCTGACTGTTTTTTTCAATAAATATATTGTTTTTACTATTACCTTGCCAAATTTCAGCTATGCGAAAACACTTTTGGTGAAATTATTATTCGACATGGATATATGCCTAATGACGCGCGCTACCACCTATATCACTCTAATCGACTGCTGACTGGCGGGGTCCCGACATAGAAGTGTCTGACTGTTTTTTTCAATAAATATATTGTTTTTACTATTACCTTGCCAAATTTCAGCTATGCGAAAACACTTTTGGTGAAATTATTATTCGACATGGATATATGCCTATTGACGCGCGCTACCACCTATATCACTCTAATCGACTGCTGACGGGCGGGGTCCCGACATAGAAGTGTCTGACTGTTTTTTTCAATAAATATATTGTTTTTACTATTACCTTGCCAAATTTCAGCTATGCGAAAACACTTTTGGTGAAATTATTATTCGACATGGTTATATGCCTATTGACGCGCGCTACCACCTATTTCACTTTAATCGACTGCTGACTAGCGGGGTCCCGACATAGAAGTTTCTGACTGTTTTTTTCAATAAATATATTGTTTTTACTATAACCTTGCCAAATTTCAGCCATGCGAAAACACTTTCGGTGACGTCATTTTTTTGACCACTTCAAAGTCGCGCTGACTCTACGTGTCCCCGTATTTCTTTGTCTGACTGTTAAATTATGGTTCTACATTATATTCGCATGCTCTTTGCAAATTTTCAGCTTTGCGAAAACTGTTGCGAGGTGTTGATTAAAAATACACCTTTGCGCGCATCTCAGCGCCAGGTGTCCCGAAACTGGAACTGCTGACTGTAGCCTAGCTTTGTAGCACTAAAATACTACTCATTCTGAAAATATGAGCCTTGCGAAAACTCTTGCATATTTTCGACGCCAGCTCCTGGACTACTCCTTTTCGCGTTTCCATATCCAAATTTTCGGATTTGTCGCCATAACAGTGATCACGCGATCAATGTCAAAATACGGATAGGTTATCGGACATGCAGGATCGATCGCGCATGAGAAAAAATTCCATATCCTACAAATAAAAAATATCCCCATATGTAGCGAACATTATGGGGGAAATTGCTTCTTTTAAATAAAACTTACCTTAAAAAAATGCAGGTTCTGTATTCTCTATTTATATTTTTATTGTAGGCAATATGGAACGAACTAGAAAACTTCTTGAAAAGCAGCCTTTATTCTGACAACCACAAGGTTGTGTACCAATGCTTGTTGGAGTGTCACAATTTCAATAATATTGACGAAGACAAATCGAGCGAAAAATTGGATTTTGATGAGGCACTTAATCAGCTTGACAATATCTCTACAGTCAAGGATGAAAACGCTCAAAGAGCTTCAGTTATTAGGGCTACAACTGATAGTCCTATGTCTCCACCGCCGTTGGCCAATGTTCCTGCATTCTCTTTACAAAACTCCTATAAAGGCAAGACTTTGTATGATATTTTTGAGAATATGGAAAATGAAAAGGTAAAAATATAATTATATATTTTCAAAACTCAATGTTGTCACAAAGGTTAACAGCATGTGAGATGTTTTTCATTGTGAGAGCACAGGACTTTGACGGATGTTGTCAACATCAAAACGGTATGCAAAATTATTAGCCTGTACGTATTTTATTTTAGATTTGCAATAGACCAGAACTGGCAGGAAGAAAGATTGAGCATTTTAGATTGTACGTCGACCTTGACAGTGATGGACAGGGGGGATATAGAAATGAAGGACTCATGGATGCAGAGTAATCATTCCTAAAACCGGCACTTTGACGCACAAGGTACATACTACTGACTACAGACGTGCCTAATGAAGCCCAGCAACGTGATGTTGGGGTGGAGCATGGTTGGGTGACTGTGACTCTGGAGTACGGCGGAATGACTTCTGTTGTATATAATAGACTTAACAACCAAATATATAATAATAATGATATTGAATATTGAATTTTTCGTTTGTCTGTGTCAAAGAGAATTGTACATTCTTTGGACAATAAAGTTTTTTTTATTTAATTTGAATATGAATAAATATTATTTGTATTTGGAACATCATAGGATCGGGGACTGCCTGATCACTCGAACCATCTGACTCCAGTATAAATGCTTCTATTATGATCTGGAAGAAGTACAGTTGATCCAAAAAGATGACAATCATGTGGAAAACAGAATTTCTATTAATTGAATTGAATAATGCACTTATGTCTGATAGAACTATTGATAATTCGAATCCATTCTACAACTAATGGTATTGATACTATTTCTTTTAAGTACAGTGGGACCACATTGCAGGGTCTTCCGATCCATTGGGTGCATTTCATCACGAGCTAACTGACCTTTTTAACACAATATTTCCTATAAAAAAAATAAAAATAAAATCTGAAAAAGGTAAACCATGGGTATCATCTGGAATAAGAATCTCTTTTAGAAATTTGCGCTGTCTGCACTATATTCGTAAATTTAATATTAACAACAACTTTTTTGTGTCTTATTTTAATTCATATAAACGTATTTACAGGAAAACCATAAGGAATGCCAAGGATTTATATTATAAACATCGTTTTACACAGGCTGGAAACAGAACAAGGGAAAACTGGTCTATCATAAATGATTTAAGAGGCAGACTCACCTCATGTTCTGGAACTGTCAACATGGAGCCTGATTAGGGAATGCAATCCCGCAAGATAATTCCAGTCCCGGTATTTGCGGGACTGGACATTTCCAATCCTGCGGGATCCAGGTATTTGCGGGATCCCGCAGAATCCTGTCCTGTGTAACTTTGCAAATAAATCATAATATAGTACCAGATTTAAAGGGTTTTGACTAAAATTGTACAAATATCAAGTATCAAATTATTTAATAATATTTTTCAAAGATATTTAAACATTATTATTAGAAGATTAACATAACAAGTCAGAAGATATTTAAATATTATTTTAGAAATAACTGCGCAAACGTCCTGTCGTTTTAATTATTCATTTACACAACTTGCATTCTGAAGATTAACAAAATTCATCTTTTCAAGTTATCATTATGTCGGAAACTGTAGCGTAGCTCAGTTCCAACCGACATGAGAACTGTTACAGAACCAGTAATTTCTAGTTGCCCACCTATTTTTCAATGAGTTCATCCTACTTGACAAATGAATTGATCGACTGGAAATTACCATTCTAGAACGGTTCTCATGTCGGTTAGAACAGAGCTACAGTTTCTGACATAATGATAATTATTTAAACTTGAATACCTACTTAAAAGAGTAAATTTTGTTTACTTAACCACAATTAAAAATTTGTTGCACTGCGACCCCTACACGTCCTTATTAAAAGTTGGAATAAAACTGCCAAAATCAAAAAATAGTAAACAACTTCGAATTAGGGCGAGAAAGTTTCTCTCACCTTGCGTTCCAATATCCATTTGCGAGCATATAGATATTTTATCACGTGATATTAAATTGATTTGAAATGAATTAAACACGTGATAACTGTCAAAACTGTCAAAATTTTCATCGGGATGCTCATAGATTGGATTTTGGAACTCTTCTTCAGTCTCCTCACCACAATCTGTCGTCCAGTTTGAGCGTACCAGGCCCGGTGTTTCGGTATCCCGGTATTGCATTCACTAAGCCTGATACTCTGAATGCTTTTTTCTGTTCTGTGTTCGAGAGAACAACATCCAATACTACAAGTAGTAAAGATCCTATGGATTATCTTGGGGAGTTCAATGTTCCCTGCAGTTTCTACGTTCACCCCGTCGATGTGATTGAATTAAAGGATGTGTTTTCGCAGATCAAGAATAGGAATTCTTCTGGGTATGATGGAATGTCCATTACGGTGTTTGAGAATCTTTCAGAATCTGCTTTATTTTCACTCGCAAATGCGATTAACGTATCTTTCCAAACTAGCGAATTTCCATCCTGTTTGAAACGGGCGGTTGTGATTCCGTTGCACAAGGGGGGTAGTTGCAAAGATCCATCTAATTTCCGCCCTATATCGCTACTTGCCACCATTTCGAAGGTCGTTGAGAAGCTAGTGAAATCGAGGCTGGTTCATTTTCTATCGGCATTTATTGTGATAACAGCTTCTCAGTTTGGTGTTTGGTTTTCAAGCATCTAAAAGTACGAGTGATGCAATCTTTTCGCTTCTGGAGACCCTTTACACAAGTCTGAATGGCGGAGATGTGGCTGCGGCAGTATTTTGCAACTTTTCAAAGGCCTTTGACTGCGTAAATCGCGAAGTGCTGCTGCGGAAACTTCACCGCTGTGGTATACGGGGAAAGGCGAATCTATGGTTCAAAACATATCTCTTGGAGAGGATTCAGGTGGTGAAATTTGGCGATGATGAGTCGGCTTCCTTGGTATGTCACTATGGTGTACCGCAGGGATCGGTGTTTGGACCTGTTCTTTTCTTGGTGTATATTAATGACCTTGCGATGGTGAATATTCGGGGTAAGTTCACTCTCTTCGCGGACGACACCACTCTTCTATGGCATGCGGAAACAGGCGATCATCTCAGGGAGATGATAACTACGGATCTACCAAAAATCAAAAGTTGGTGTGATGCTAATTCTCTCAGCTTAAATATCGCTAAAACTAATATACTGACTTTTGGTTTTAATTTTCATGACTTAAAGATAAATGATCAACAAATCGAAAATGAACCAGTCACTAAGTTCTTGGGCCTTCTTCATGGGCGCCGGCAGCAGAGTGCAAGGGGGTGCACTTGCACCCCCCTGTCAGAAATACATTGAATTTTTTTTTTTTATTTTATTGTTATTATTTTTTTAATAGTTACTGTTTGAAAAAATTGGCGAAACGAGAAACGATGGCCCCCTCGCACACTTTGTTCCCCGCGACATTCCTTGGCTCACTTCTGGCTCGGATCGGGTTATTTTATTTTTATTTCGCGCGCCATCAACCTGTAGAATGGCAGGAATTTCCGGAATTTACTCAAATTCTAGTTTATGGATATATATTTCTTTAACTTCTACGAATTGATAGCCCAAAAAAAGTATTAGATTGCGAGAAGCCTGTGCGCAGGGGCGGACATATCACCGGGCAGTTCGGTGCGCCGCCCAGGAGCCCATGGTCCGAAAGGGCCCCACGATGCTGCGGAAAATTTCGAATATGTAGACGAAAATGTCATACATGCAAAACAAATGTAATAACATTTTAATTAAGATTCAATAAGAACTCAATTCCTATCTTCTGAAATATCATTTACCATACCGCCCATGCCTAATAATATTCGTTTCTGTGGTTGAGAGCATCTGGCAACGCTGAGCGTGCTTCCGAAGTATTCCGAATATATCTGACCATAATTCCGAGATACACAGACGGACCCAACCAGCAGTCCATATTGTGATTTGAAAACCACTATTTTCAGTCCGCATTTTTATTTTCCTACTTTTTACGTGACTCTCAAGGGCAGTGGCGCACCCAGGAGGGCATCGGTCCAGGGCCCCCTCTAGGCCGCCCGTCCAACACTGTATTTTTACGTACAAAAAAATTTGACATCATGCGGCGTGGCACCCTGAAACGTCAATTTTGTATGTAGATTTTTAGACACAAGCCACAACCTTTTTAGGGCCCCCCCCATTCACCAAACATATTTTCTGGGTGCGCCACTGCTCAAGGGATAGGTTAGGCCTAGAGGCCCCGAAATATATTTTGCACTGAGGGCCGCTTGTCCCTAGATCCGTCACTGCCCGTGCCACTTTCCACCGACGTAAAAGCATCATATAAATGACGTTTTCAATTAAAAGAGATGGAGGATAGAATAAAAACATACATTTTCCCGCCAACATTTGCTTGCTTGTTAATGTCATTGATTTGAATTTGATGCAATAGTTTTGATAGAAACTTATGGAAAGACACGTCCGCCGGTAAATAGGAATTATTTTCACGAAAAGGCACACTACATACAATCTGCATTGGTAGGAAAAAACTTTGAAAAAACCGAAGAAGTAATAGTTTCCAGTTTCCACTTGTCAACAAACCACTGTCAACGGCTGTCAACCATTGTTTTCATACTCCATTGACGTCTGATGCCAGAGAGAGAGGCTTTAAATTGAAAAGGTCAATTCACTTAATCACCCAGAAACACTATTTTTCTGAAAGCTCAAAATAACCGTTTTTGGGCGTGGCAGCCGGAAAAATTGTCGCGCCTCTGGCAGCTCCTGCGTCGGGCATTATTCACCTTCTTAAATTAGTGATTTGAACCAAGCAATACGATTTATGTGTCGGGTGGGAGTAAGGGAACATTCCAGACCACTGTTTATTACACAGAGGATATTGACAGTTGTGTCTTTATTTTTCTTGAAACAGTGTGTCTGATTCACAAAAAATCGTGTTTTGAGGTCCCTGACCGTTTACATAACACAAGGTTAAATGCAAACCAAAATCTACGACTCCCTATTCCCAGAATGACACTTACAAAAAAGTCCATTATAATATGAAGGCCTCAAGATATACAGTGTGTGCCATAAAGTTGGGTACATATGGGGAAATTTTTAATTATTCCTGTTTCCGAAAAACTTTTTTTAGGGATCGTTAGGGCATGTTCGATAACCAAAAAATCAATTATGACACATGTCATGCGATTATCGGTTTAGCGGGAATTTTGAAAAAAGTTGATATTGATGTCGAAAAACGGGTAAATTTGGCAAGATATCAGAAAATTTTATAAGAAAAAGTTGTTCAGAATCCAAAAACAACTCCACATGCCGATTTTGAAGCAAATCGGAGAAAAAAAATAAAA